CCATCTCACCAGCCCAGGACAGTTCTGATAGTCAATACACTGTATATTGTTATCTTCTTAGTGGTTATCCATAGTACAAGAAGCAGACAGGATATTCTGTCCAAACACTGTTAGTACACCTCTTTCTTCTCACTGAATTAAGCGAAAGTAGCTGTAAATTTATCCTACTTTGTATATATAAATACAAAATGATCTTTCCTTTGTATTCCTTTTTTTTTTAGTTTTTATTTTTATTTATTTATTTTTTTTGTCCTGTCAACACCTGTCTTTTGAACACCATTTTTCTTTATTTTTTAAAACACCTTTAAAAAAAAAAAAAACCTATGAAACAAAAGCATCCACCCAATTATCTCAGTGGAAGATCTCCACTATTTTTTTTTTTTAACGAATTCTAGAAACACTGGAGGATAAGAGCAGAATATTTATTGGGGGAAAGAAAGCTTCTGTCTGAGAGAGACAGAAGGGGTCCCAAGTGGGAAGTCTGGGAGTAAATGATTATAAATAGGTTTTCAATAGTCATTTGGGGTCAGAAGCTACCATTTACTTCCTCATCTGCACTTATAAAAAATGAATATGGAATGCACATTATCTTACATTTTTTAAGAATTGTATTTAGTACAGAGTCTACAGGGTCTCACCATGTAGATCAGACTCAGTGATTCTCCTGTTTTCAGCCTCCCAAGCACTGAGATTACAAGCACGCGCCACCATGCCTAGTCTCAATCACTGTCTCAGCACACCCTGGGGGCAGGGATGGCATGGCACGCTGGGGACTGAAAACCCCAACCACTGCGCTCTGCCTAAGCAGGCACTTTAGTCTGCTGAGCTATCTGGCCAGCCCTTATTTACAGGTTTAATTCTGTGTACATTTGCACACCTTTTAGACAGAGTATAATGCATATGGAACCAGTATTTTAGCACAGTGATGGTGAACCTTTCAGAGATGAGTATCCAAACTGTAATTCAAAATCCACTTATTTAAAAAAAAAAAAAAATCCACTTATTTATTACAGTGCAAAGACTGAAATTAAGCCTGCATAATGAAGTTTTAGTTTAGGAAAAAGAAAACCCTCATACATTAATTTTTTTTTTTTTTTTTTTTGCAGAATGAGCGATTGAACTGAGACCCTTGCGCTTGCCAGGGAAGTGCTTATTCTATTGAGCCATCTCCCCAGCTCCCATTAATGTCTTCTGTCTTACAAGAAAACATGTATGCTATAGGTTTGGCACCACTGTTTTAGCACAATGACATTGGAAAAAGTATTTTTATTTTACTTGCTAATGTAATATTTTTTAACCTTCACACAAACCCCTAATGCTAGAATTAATTTACTGTGCTTCCTCTGATAAATAGGATATAAATCTCAGGGAAAAAAAGTTTAACTCTATTTAGAATGAAATAAAAATTCTTCAAAAGTACCCAATTCTTTCAGTAATAATTTTAGCTGCTGTTATTAAGGGTTAACTTATTGTTCAGTACACCAGAAGGCACTGCTTCTTACTTCTAAAACTGCTTATCAAGTCTTGGCACAAAAAAATAGTGGCAGCAAACACAGAACAATCCTCTCTGAACATTCCTTTTATCTTTGAAATGGTATGGCTAAATATCTAAACACAAGACTTAAAATTCCACTAGGCTGGAATTTCTATTCTAGTTTTACCACTGATATGTTATCACAACTTAAAAATAGTGGCAACAGTTTGATACCATTATTTCTCCTACTATGGGCTGACCATAACTATGAAACAGATTATGGAAGTAAAGAAATGCATCTCACGTGAAAAAGTAAATTACAGTTTCAAATACATTCCTCTAAGGAGTCTTCACTCCTTTAATGATCCTTCCAAAGAAAACAAAAAACAAACAACGGCACATCTCACATTAGCTTGATACTGCTCCAGAATCACATGACCTGGAAATTCCGGCTCAGGCACAGACGCGAATTTCTTGATAATGTCTTCAAGAGCCTGGAGCCCAGCCATCCGCAGCTGGTTGCTATGATCAGTTGCAGCCATGAATGCCATGCGAATCAGGTCAGAGAGATGAAGTACTAAGAGATCATCTAAAAATAAAAATAGAAGGCAAAAGGGAAAGCTTTTCCAAAAATGAGTGTTATGACATAAAAAACACAAAATACACTTCTGATAAAAACACTTATGACCCACATGTTTTCTAAAAACTAAAATAATCTTTCAAGAAAACTCCCATTCATGTGTGTTCAACCTGCAATAATAAAATTATACACACAAACACATCAGGGTCTCACTATACAGCTCATTCTCCTATCTCAGCCTCCCCTAGTGATCCTTCTGTCTCCACCTCCCTGGTATTAGGATTACAGGCATGCACCACCATGTCTGATTTCTGTGGCAGGCACAGTATGCCCAAGTTTCTAGGGCCAGCACGGCATGTGGTACCAGGGATCGAACCTGGATCCTTCACTTGTCAGGCAAGCACTTAAGACTGCTGAGCTATCTCCCCAGCCCTATATTTATTTTATATATTTGTAACAATAAAAAATTTTAGTCTTGTTTATATGCATTAACTATATTATATAGCTTACATGTGGTAAAGACAATTTCTCCTCACATAAACAAAAGGCAGGTCACAAGCTGCACATTCCCATCAACAGTCAGCTTTTACACAATACGTTCACATAGGTGACTACAGGATTTACAATGACATCAGAAGAAAAATACTTGATTAGTGTATGGATTTCCCACATGATTTTACAATTCTTTTAGAACAGAGTTTAGAAGTCTTTCACTGTAAAGGACCCGGAAATAAATATTTTTGGTTTTATGGATAATATAACCTTTACTACTACTTCTTCAATGTGCTTTTACAATAAAAAAAAAAAAAAAAAAAAACAGCCATAGACAATATGTATGCTGAAATAAGTATGCTGTGCTCCAATAAACTTTATGGGGGTATCTGGACTTCAGGATGTCTGCCCATCCCTAGAAAAATAAAATAAAAACTGGGTGGTCAGGAAAAGACCTTTCAACTTCATCCCAGAGCAAAGTCTAATACTATGTAAAGAAACAAGGTAAAACCCAGCACTAACATAAAATTTGCAACATCTGACAGCTAATAAAATATTACCAAGATGGCAAAACTATAGGGAAGTATCTCATAACAGAGAGAGACAGAGATGGAGACAAATTCAATAAGGAAGAAGAGGACTGAAAATGAAAATAACAGAATTTTCAATATTTTTTCTATGTTCAAAAAAGAAAAGAGTATAAACACAATGAAGAGAGAAATGAAAAAAAGAAACACAAAGAGGACTATAAAATAAAATGCTTCAAGTGAAACATACACTAGATAAAATTAACAGAAAAACAGGCTTAGTGGTGCATGCCTAGAATCCCAGCACTGGAGAGCCTGAGACAGGAAGACTACTACTATGAATCTGAACCGCATAGCGAGACCCTCTATCAAATAAATGTTTAAAAAATTTAAAAAGATTAACAGAGATTAGATACTAAAGATCAGTGACTTTAAAATATGTAGCAACTAGCAACAACCATCACCTAAAGAATTTACCAGTTATGTATCTGTACCAACTCCTCAAAACGAATATAATCATTATGTATTGCTAACATGTATCAATAAAAAATTATATTACAAAGAATTTATCAAGTTTAAGAACCCTAAAGTTCTACTGAAAGCTACAAAACTTTGAAAATCTTCTGACCATCAGACTGTCTG